GGCGGGGCGGCGGTCGCCTTGCAGTCCGACGCCGACGAGGATCGCGGCCTGCACCGACGAGAGCGGCGTGAGGAGCGCGCCGCTGAAGCGCAGCCGCGCGAGCAGCGGCACGAGGTCGAGCACGAGGTGGTGGTCGACGAGGGAGCGCGAGTACGACGAGAGCCGCTTGAGGTCGTACGCGCCGAGCACGAACTCGAGCTGCTCCGCCGTCGGCGCGCGCGCCTCTGCGGGCTGCAGCGTCGGGTCGAGCAGCGAGAGGGCGAGCGCGGTGGGCATCTCGCGCAGCGCGCCGCCGAGCAGCGCGCTCAGCCGGCGCCGGAAGTCGCCGACGTACAGCGGCAGCCAGTCGGCGGCGGCGAGGGTCGACATCTCGCGCTGCGAGCCGTCGAGCGCCTTGAGGACGATGGCGGTGTGCTCGCCCGTCACCTCGTTCTTGGTCTGGCGCAGGTAGACGGGCCGGAAGCCGCCCTTGTGCCAGAAGCCGTACAGCGGCGCCGTGATGCCGAACGAGGCGCCGAGCCAGTGGAGCGGCTCGGGCGGCCGCTGCTCGAGCGTGAGCAGCAGGGGCGGCAGCTTCGCGCGCGGCGCGATCGTCTCGTGCAGCAGTCCGCCCGCGGTGGCGCCGTCGGCGCCTGCGCCTCCCGCGGCCGCGCGCGGCGCAGCCGCCGCGGGCGGCTTGAGGGGCCGCACGTCGCCCTGGTAGTAGTGGGTGAGCAGGTCGAGGGCGCGCGAGCCGTAGCCCATCCGGGCGAGGTCGGGGTGGACCGCCACCCGCACGACCCGCGCGCCCGAGAGCGAGGCGAACTCTGGCTCCTGGAACTGCTGCGAGACGGTCCACGCGATGAGGTCGCCCGACGGCGTCTCTCCGCGCGCCATCGAGCGGCGGACCGACTCGTGCGAGATGTCGCCCTCGAGGCAGATCTGCACCACGGCGAGGATGTCGGGCAGGCGCTTGGCGTCCACGTCCACCTGTGTGTGGGGAGGGGCTCGAGAGGGCTCAGAGGGAAGGGTCCGAGGAGGTCGGGCAGCCGCTTGTCATCGTCGACCGGCCCGAGCAGCACGAAGGCCTGGTGGGCGGGCGCGTCCGAGAGGAGCTGCAGGTCGTTGGGCGTGTTCTTGTAGTGCGACGAGACGCAGAGCGCGAGCATGCGCTGCAGGAAAGCCTCCGACGCAGAATGGTACGAGAAGAGCGCGTCGCGGTCGACCCAGTACAGCTCGCACTCGGACGGGTGCGGCGTCGAGCGCACGGGCGGCAGACTGGTCGTCGCGTCGAGGCAAAGCAGCCCGTGCAGCCAGCGCTCGACGGGGTCGCCCTGCGCGTACCGGATCGGCTCCTCGAGGCTGACCTGCGGCGGGCAGTGGCACCGGCAAGCTGTGATGCCTGCAGGAAAAAGGGGACCGGGCGCCGCGCAGCCCCTCTCCGCCCCTCTCCGCCCCTCTCCACCCCTCGCCCCCCCCCCCACACACCCACCCACCCTCCCCCCCGGAGCCACGCGCCTCGCGCAGTGTGCGGCCGCCGAGCGCCGGGTCCTCGGCCAGGGCCGAGGCGCTGCCGCCGGCCGCCTCGCCGCCGGCCTGCGCCTTTGCGCGCAGCTGCTGGATGAGCTTGAGGGAGAGGGCGCGGCCGGTGCCCTCGTACCCGTTGACGGTGGAGGCCATGTAGACGAGGTACGGGCCGAGCAGCGCCCGCACCTGCGGCAGCGGGATGGCGGCTGCCTCGTCGATGACGAGCAGCTCCGCCTGCGAGAGCAGCGCCGCGTCGCTGGGCAGGATGTACTGGATGGTCTGCCGGTGCGCGCGGAAGATGTTGATCCGC